CTATAAAAACAATAAAGAAATAAAAGGGGGCTGTTATTTGGATTAGATGGTCATACAATGCCTCTCTAAATGGACAATTTGGCCAAAACCTGAAAAATCACAAGGAACTAGCCAGATAAGGGAAAGATTATGATAGTCAAATGGAACATTTGGGAAGATCTTGGGTAGGGTAATGGGGGTGGGGATGTTTTAAAATCTACTAAAAAGCCAATTTGGCTAGAGTTAGCACATATAGTACTTATGCCTATAAGGAAAGAGAGCTTATTCTTCACATAAAGAGAGGTAGGCAAGGGTCAAATGATGCAGAATCATATAGGAAATGAGATTTTATTCAAAGTGTGATGAGAAACCATTTAATAGTTTATTCAGGCTTCTACCGACGTTACTCTGGCTGCCCTAGTGGAGAATCAACTGGAACTAAGAGTCTAAAAATTGTCACAGATGGCCCTCCTCCTGCCATAAACAATATCAAATGTTTTTATTTGAACAAATAAATTGCAGTTCTTAAAAGAAAGCAGAAGAGATGCAGAAGCAAATCCAAGGGCTGAAATTCTGAAGGATATTTTAAGACAAGATTCCTGAAATAAAATTGAAGGCCAGGAAAGGATGACTCACAGGATCAAAAAAAAAAAAAAAAAACAGCCTGCTACTTTAAGAAAGCAGTAAAGAAGCCTGTTATCTGTTACATTAAATAGGTATTTTTTAAAAAGTACAAAAAAAAAAAAAAACCAACCTGGCACCTGAGGCCTGTATCACATATAGAATGAAATCCAAATTATATTCCAAGCTGCAAAATGTTATCTGAAATGCTTTAGGACAATTGGAACTTTTAGAGCTCAGCAAAATCACTCTGTAGAGATACTTTCTTAAAACCCAGGGCACAGAACACTCCCACAGGACAAAGACCTTCTTTGCAGATAAACCCAAAAACCAAACCCCTGCCACTGAATTGATTCAGACTCATAGCAACCATATATATATATATATATATATATATATATATATAAACTCACTGCTGTTGAGTTAATTGATTTGACTCTCTAGGACAGAGTAAAACTGCCCCACACAAAGTTTTCCAAATCTGATTATCTTTATGGAAGCAGATTCCCAATAATATTTTAAACATCATTTGAAGAAACCAGCCACCAAGCAGGAGAGCCAACAGAAACAACACACAGAATTTTACCAATTGGAAATTATAATTTTATACAGATGGATTTTATTACCTTTCACTCTATCTCACCCATGCTTTGGTTCTTATTCAAGGCCAACACAAAACTTTTGAGCACCATAATTTCCATCTCTGTTAAGATTACCGATAATTTTCTTATTCCCTCACTTCTATATGGTCCTGGGTATATTCCTGTTTGCTTACCCATACATGATCATCTTGACTGTCTACCTGTGTATCCACCTGGAAACTATTTATCACTGACAACGCAATATTGTGTATGTAACAGTACTTATCTTTGCCATTGGTACCTCTTGAACACCTGTCTGTGTTTTCCTTTTCTTTAATGGTATTGTGCTGGTCACCTACTTTTGGAATACTGTTTTTCCCTTCACCAAAATCAGTATATGTCTCTTACCTAGCTAGCAATCCGCTCCCCGCCCCCCATTCCCTATCCTGTCTGGTAATCATTAAAGAATGTTTCCTTCTATCCTTGAACCTTTCCTTGACTTTTTATAACAGTGGACTCATACAATAATTGACCTTCCATGATTGACTTACTTCACTCAGCATAATGTCTTTCAAGTTCATCCACATTAGGTGATGTTCCATGGATTCCTCATTATTTAAATGTTGCATAGTATTCCATTATGTGTATGAACCATAGTTTTGCTATCCACTCATCAGTTGATGGGCATTTAGGTTGTTTCCATCTCTGTGCCATTGTGAATAGTGCTGTAATAAACATGGGTGTACATATACCCAAGTCTCAGCTCTTACTTCTTTAGAATATGTACCTAGTAGTGAGATTGCTGGATCAGATGGTATTTCTATTTCCAATTTCTTAAGGAAGCGCCATACTGTTTCCCAGAGTGGTTGTACCACTTTGAAGTCCCATCAGCAGTGTATGAGAATTCCAGTCTCTCTACATCCTCACCAACTTATTTTCAGTCTTGTTGAACTTTGCTATCTTTGCTGAGGTAAGATGGTACTCCATTGTTGTTTTGATTTGCTTCTCTCTAATGGTCCTCGGAAGGAAGGTTGGGCAATCCTACTTCCGTAGTGATACTGCCTCGAAAACCCAAGGAGGGGTCGCTATGAGTCGGGGCGACTCGACGGCACATAACAACAACAACAACAACAATGGCTGATGAGTGTAGTGCCTAAGGCACTTGACTGCTAACCAGAAGGCTGGGATTCAAACCCACCAGCTACTCCTCGGAAGGAAGGTTAGGCAATCTACTTCCATAGTGATACCACCTCGGAAGCCCAAGGAGGGGTAGCTACGAGTAGGGTCCAACTCAATGGCACATAACAACAACAACAATGGCTGATGAAGGAGCTCTGTGGCACAGTAGGTGAGCATTTGGCTGCTAACCAGAAAGTCAGTGGTTCAAACCCACCACCTGCTCTGCAGGAGGAAGATGAGGCAATCTACTTCCAGAAAGATTTATAACCTTGGAAACCGAATGGCAGTTGCTATGAGTCAGAAATGACTCCATGGTAGCGAGTGTGGTTTGGAATGGCTAATGGTTGCAAGCATTTCACGTGTTTATTGGCTGCCTGAATATCTTTCTTTGGTCAAGTGTCTTGTTCATATCTTCTGTAGATTGATAATTGTTGAAATTCACACAAAATTAACTAAAGAGTGTATATATAAAATTCAACATGGGGCAAATAAGATAGTTTAACATTATTACTTGAGTTAGGTAATTGTTGTTTATAAATGGGAAACTGCATCTAATATTCTGGGGCTAATCTATATTTTAATGTATTTAGTCTATGTTCAAAAACTAGATGAAATGTGTCTTACAGTACATTTGGATAACATTTTAACTTTACAATGTTATCGAAAATGAGTCCACATTTACAATGAGGCATTTGCAGCAAACTCACATTTCAGAAGTCACTTTAAAGGTTCAAAGGTTACAACAGAAATTTCAAACATCCTTCACCTTTTGATTACCTATGACTGAAATACTCATTTCAATTCTTTTGATGTGGTTTATTTTCCAGTCTCTTCATTTATTTCAATTTGTTTAACAAATATTGACACACTAGAGCTAAGTCACGCTTGGGATTTTAAATGTAAGCCAAAATAACTAGTTTTTTTTAAAAAAATGCAAAATAGAGAAACATGAAAAACGGAATAACTGGCCTCTCTTAAATCATTCTAACCCGTTTGCACGTTTGACGTTTGCATCTTTCTATCTTCGCAAACCTCCTGAAAATCTTGGAACGAAAGCCCTGCAGGGTTAAGTGTTCAAGGCAGAACCAGAACTTCAAAATCAAGCGGCAGGCAAGGAGAAGCCTAAGAAAAGTTTTCCCATCTCCAGCACCGACGTTTTACGTTGTTTTATCAACAAAAAGATGACCAAACAATTTTAAGGGGAGAGATTTAAGAAATTCGTTAAGGGTGCACATCAGCAAAAATCATTCACAAAAGAAACATAAAGGAAATAATCTCCACACAAATCTGTGGAATGCTTTGGCCTGCGAGAAACCTGGCTCTTCAGAGAAACCTTGTTAAATGTCTCCACTGTCCGTTTGTTATATACCCCAACGCTCTTAAATTTTTTTTTTTAATGTAAAGTCTAAATCTGATCGCCTTTTTCCGCCAGTATTAAGAATGATTACAGATAACTCTTCCAGTCAAACACGCGGCTTTGAAGGAAACTTCTTCAAGCCAGGGAATTAACCCTTCCCGATCATCAGCTGCAGGACCCCATCCCAGTGAATTTACGAAGACCCCAAAAGGCAAAATTTACGCCCTCTCCTTTCCTCCACCACTCGTAGCAACTTTCTAACTGCCTGTTAATCACCACATTTACCTCCACCGCCATTTCCTCCTTATCAATCGAAGCAATTAACCCACCGAGAATTTAAAAAAGAGAGAGAAAGCAGAGCCAGATCAAAGGACATTAATGTCTACGTGGCCAAGCTTTTCTTAGGCAGTCTGTCCGGCATTGCCACAGGCAACCTCTAACCGAGCGGAATCCTGCTGTAGAGCAGTTTGTCTGGAGCTCAGCACACTGATTGGCTGGCGGGCCGCTGTTGGGGGGGAAAAAACCCGGATGTGCTTGGGAAGTAGTGTTGGCAGTCGGGGTATCCGTGGTTGGGCTCTGACAAGGTACCGGCATCCAGGACCGATGGCGCAGGGTTGGGCTGGCTTTTCTGAGGAGGAGTTAAGGAGACTAAAGCAGACTAAAGGTAACAGGTCGTATCTGCAGAGGCCAATTCTTGGATCTGTTTAAGGGGAAGGGGCGGAGCTGAAGCTTTTAGAGAAGAACGGGTCAGTGAAGAGGGTGCTTTGGGGGGGAGGGGGCGTGTACCTAGGGTGACAGAATTGAGGTGGTTCCAGAGGTGGATGTACGTAGAGCCACGGGAGGAGAGACATGTCCAGGGGTCTGGGGTCTACCTTTAGGATAGAGGGCTCAGGAATCCATTTTGGGAGTTTCACTTTGTTCTGTGAAAGGAGTGAAATTTGGGATTGGAAGTGATCCTAATGCCTGGTTGTCTGTCTTGTTTAGGAATCATTGCTGCACTGATCAGTAGTGGGAGGGTTAGGGTTAGGGTAAGGGAAAGAGGAGGGGCAAATCCCATATTAGAAGAATTGTGACAAACTTAGAGAAGCGAGTATTGATTGGGGGGAAATAAAGGAGCACAGAGTCTGCATAAACGCAGAAATTTGATACTTTTCATAAAACACCTGAATTACTACATTCACTTCCAGTTGCCAAATGATTCTTGCATTTCTTTCCAACTCTTAAGACTCAGCAAACCTAAAGGGCCTTTGAGGGGTTAGATGTGAAAGAGTGTGTGTATGTGTGTATATACATCTGTGTGTCTGTTAAGGAGCTCTGGTGATGTAGTGGTTAAGGCATTTGGCTGTTAACCAAAAGGTTGGTAGTTCGAACCCACCAAGTACTCGGTGAAAGAAAGACCAGGCGGTCTACTTCCGTAAAGATTAACAGTCTTGGGAACCCAGTGGAGGTCGCTGTGAGTGGGAATTGACTTCATGGCAGTGAATTTGGTTTTTTTGGTTTATCTATATCTATCTATCTATCTATCTATCCATCTATCTATCTATATATACACACTAACTTTGGGGTAAGTTAAGATTTTGTGCGCTCCCCTCCCCTTTATGATCACTGAGTGGGTTTAAGCTATTTTGTTTTCTTTTGATAAAGGAATTAAGTTTGCTTAATTAATACCTGGTACGCACTTGGTAATACTTGGTACGTATTAATTGAGCAAACTTAATTCCTTCATCAAAAGAAAACAAAATAGCTTAAACCCACTCAGTGATTATAAAGGGGAGGGGGCGCACAGGGGGAGCTCTGGTGGTGTAGTTCTTAAGGCATTTGACTGCTAACCAGAAGGCTGGCAGTTCAAACCCACCAGCCACTCCTCGGGAGGAAGGTTGGGCAATCTACTTCTATAGTGATACCCCTTTGGAAACCCAAGAAGGGGTCGCTATGAGTTGGATCCGTCTCCACGGCAGTGAGTTTGGTTGAGTTTGGTTGGTAAACGCTCAGTGATACAATTATGGTTTACCATATGTGGGAAATTTCATGAAGATCAGCATAGTGATCCTGGGGGTGCACACCACTTCTGGGAGCAGTTTACACCATGCTTGGTACCGTAACTTATTTTCAGTTCTTTCTTAAAATATCTTTCTTTGACACAATTTAAATATGCACAGAAAGAATTTTCTTTGTTTAGCTTATTTATCTAAACAAATTAAGATCAGGACACAGTTTACATTCTAGACCTTTACTTTATTTCATGTAAAGAGTTTCTTTGTAATGAGTATTAATTTGTTTATGATCATGTTAATAAGAGTGATGGCTGTCCTTTTGAATGAGGAAAGTTATCTGTAATATTGTTTCTTCCTTGGACTAGGAGCTCTGATAGATTTTACTTTGGGAGAAGATTAAATAAACCCTGCCATGCTTTTTATTAGAATTTGTGAGAAAATTGGATGATGCTCAGGTAGGCCTGCTTTTTTTGTTTATCTGTTTTGTTTTGTTTTAGCATAGATAGGAGAATGATCTAAGCCTGACAAGTGGAAAAGAAAGTAAATTAGTGATAGAGAGCCAGTTTAGATCATATAGATTGAGGAAATTTCAACTGGTTGGTCAAAGTTAGTATAAAGATTATACTACATTGTGTGATTAATTGACTCTCTTTAGTTTGATGTGCTCAAAATTTTTTTGCTGTGTGTTTTCAACATCCATTCACTTATTTAGTTGTATGGAATGCCAGGTACCCTGTCTCTGATCTGGCCCCAAGTTCCAGTTTACCACCTCTGATTAGGGATACAAAGATGAACAAGGCAGCATCCCTCCCTTTATAGAGCTCAACAACCATAAAATAATGTGTTAGTAGATGTTGTTCAAGAACTTGCTGCAGAACTGGGAGGAACCTCACTGTGCTCAGGTCTGGGGGAGTTTGGGAGGATTTCACAAAGGTTATGTTAGTGGACTGAGTTTACCAGTGGGAGGAAAACTTAATATGGAAGCCTAAAATAAACAATATATTGACATGTAGAACTATATTTTAAAGTAGGGGTATCATTGCTGATGGCAGATGGATCTTGGCTGAAAGCAGAGAATACCAGAGAGATGTTTACCTGTGTTTTATTGACTATCCAAAAACTTTCAACTGTGTGGAGCATAACAAATTATGGATAATATTTCAAAGGATGGGAATTCCAGAATACTTAATTGTGCTCATATAGAACCTGTACACAGACCAAGAGGCAGTCTTTTGAACAGAACAAGGAAATGCTGTGTGGTTTAAAGTCAGGAAAAGTGTGTGTTAGTTTGTACCCTTTTACTGTACTTATTCAATCTATGTATGTACTGAGGAAATAATCCAAGAAGATGGACTATATGAAGAACATGGCATCAAGATTGAAAGAAGACTCATTAACAACCTGCAATATGTAGATGATACAACCTTGTTTGCTAAAAGGAAAGAAAACTTAAAGCACTTACTGACAAAGATCAAAGACTACAGCTTTCAGTGTGGATTACACCCAGTATGAAGAAAACAGAAATCCTCACAGCTGGACCAATGAGCAACATCATGATAATTGGAGAAAAGATTGACATTGTCAAGGATTTCATTTTACGTGGATCCACAGTCAAAGCCCATGGGTACAACAGTCAAGAAATCAAATAGCATATTGCATTTGGTAAATCTGCTGCTAAAGACCTCTTTAAAATGTTAAAAAGGAAAGATGTAACTTTGAGGACTAAGGTGTGTCTTACTCAAACCATGGTATTTTCTGTTAGCTCCTATACATGTGAAAGCTGGACAGTGAATAAGGAAGACTGAAGAAGAATTGATGCATTTGAATTATGGTGTAGGAGAAGGATATTAAATATGCTATGGACAGCCAAAAGAACAAACAAATCTGTTTTGGAAAAAGTACAGCTAGAATGCTGCTTAGAAGGGAGAATGGAGAGACTTTGTCGTATGTACTTTGAAGGACCAGTCCCTGGAGAAAGACATCATGCTTGGTAAGGTGGAGGGTGTGGTGCAGTGAACTACTCAGTAGTGTTCTTCTAGCATGGTCTTTGTGACTCCCACCATGTTACTGGGTGGAACTATGCAAATGTAAGGTGCTTGTGGCCCACCCAGGGGAATGCATAGCTTGTTAACCCACTGCTATTGAGTCGATTCTGACTTGTAACAACCACCATTGGATTTCTAAGGCTGTAAATCTGTATGGAAGTAGAATGCTTCATCCTCCTACCATGGAGCAGCTGGTGGGTTTGAACTGCTGACATTCTTGTTAGCAACCAAAAGCCTTACCACTATGCCACCAGAGTTCCTTGGATAGCTTGTTAGTAATGTAAATGGCACCCCTGTGGGGAGTGGACCAGGAAATAAGGTGTATGGAACCCTAATGTGGGGATTGGTTAGTTTTGTCATCTCACTAGGCTTAAAATTGAGCCTTCCTAGAAACAGAAGTGGGGAATCACACTGCCATCAAGAGTAAAGAGCTGGAGGTAGAATGGAGCGCATCCTTGGACCCAAGATCCCTACATTGGACCTCCTTGGCAGAGAGATAGGCCAAGGGCCAAAGAGAGGTGTACCTGAGGGCATGGCTGAAGGGAAGCTTTCCTGATGGAAGAATTGTATCCTGAACACATTCCTGAATCTGAATTGTAACCTGTTAGGTCCCTAATAAACCCCATAATCACGAGTATTGTCTGTGAATTCTGTGTGGCCATTGTAACGGATTATTGAACCCAACAGGAAAGTTGTTAGTGCTGTGGGAGGGACAGTTGGTGTCAGAAATGGCTGAAAGATTGGAAGTTAACAGCATGTCTGGCCACATTGGAATAAGTTTTGGGGTGCTGATGGTGATTGTCTCCCACTCATGAAGTTAGAGGAGATCCCTTTTTGCAGTTGTTCTCAAGGAGCAGGATTTGTTGCAGTGGCTCCAGACTCGTCAAAGTATGGCACTTAGTAAAAGAAGGAGGGAAGGGACCTGGGGAGTGCAACTTTTGATTCTTAGATGGTTACTTGGGTTTTTGCCTGTAATGGTGAAAAGAAATATAAGAGATCTTTGATGCAGCTGAGGGATGAAAGGCCTGGGGAAAGAGCCAGGCAGATTAAAGGAGATGACTGATAAGGAGGCTAGGGTTTTTGGTTACACCCAGCCACAGCCCCAAGGCTCTATGTATAAGAATGGGAAAATAGTCAAGGTGAAGGAAAGATGAAAATGGAATGTTTGAAAGAGGATTATGTGTTTTGGGTTATATGTTTATCTTAATATACTGTGGGCATTGAATGTTCTCTTATCTAGCTGTATGATGGAAATGAACATTGAGTGTATATAAAAGAGAGCATGTAAGTACCCCTTCAGCCAATACTAGACTGAAAAGGAGAAGTAGAATTTGCCCAGAAGAAACAGGCTTTTGGTATCAAGCAGTAGTAGAATATTGGGGTTTTAGGTAGAAAACCTGAGCCCCACCCAGAACATTCATAGTCAGAAAATTTGCATTTGAAAAGATAGGGAGACTCACCCAGAATTGCTGAAAGAACAGATGATTTTCATTTGAAGGCAGTGGTTTGTCTTTGGTTGCATTGAGACAGGAAAGTCCAGGCCCATGAAGAAAAACCCTTTCCAGGACTAGAAGTTAAATGGAGCTGGCAAGTAGCAGGTAGTATGCTGCTTGCTTGTGACCACC